AAGTTTTTATGGTACCAATGCTAACTTGAAAAAAATCAAACCAAATTTATTTCAAACATACAAAACTTCATGTCTCCATCTTGTAAAGCCAATAAACCAAAGCCAAAACTTCATGTCTCCATCATGTCTCCGCTTCATGCCTTCCAAGGCTTCATGAACATGACCTCTGCTTGAGGTATTGTTGTTGGTTCGTTGGTTCTCAATCTTGTATGTTTCTAACGTAATCATTTGAACCCATAATAAATAGCATGAGTTTTAGGTTCCAAACTTGCTCCACGTTGAATTGAATTTATTCTCATTTCATATAAAATAGACCTTACAGAAAATAGTTGGTAATTTGGAGCATGTCTAAGCCTTGAGCTAGGATATGACTTCTTGTTTCGTTTTTCAGGAACTAAACCTTAGAGGTTGTCATGTCATGCATCGTATTTTAACCATGAAAACTCTTTCGAAGTAACTCTTAGTTTTCTCCCCATGAGTGCATAGGTGGCGTTGTCATAATCATGGCATCCTGCTAGCAAATCGTGGTGCAGGGCATCTCATTTAGGTGAGGGAGATAATAAGTTCATCATGGAATCCTGCTCATGGTACATATACCATAGCATCCCACCTAAAGAGAAATAGGGGCCTCGCGGTACACTTCGCGAAGTGAGATAATGGTTACTTCAGGCATGGATCCTAGCAACTTGTTAAGCATGATGTTTGCATTAACCTCGGTGTTTTCTTGAATTCTTGGTGATCCTAGGTTTATGCATAACGTCTTGGGTCAAGCTTGGAACTTATAAGTTCTTAGGAATAGCCCAGCATGATATTGTGCACGTAGTAGCTATTAGAGACCAAGGGTACATCTGGGGAATCTATTATTTCAGGGATACCACTTTAGTTATCCTAGGAGGTAAAGTTATATGGATCGCGATGAGCATTTTCTATCTTGGTTTCGCTAACTAAAGTTTTCCAATAACTCCAAAACTTCATTAGCTTATATAACCTTACGGGATAAGGATTCATACAACATTTCATAAAATAAGATCTTCTGAGAAAACTCGAGAAAAGGTCAAATTTTGATTTGACTTGGACAGTTCAGTTGAACTGGCCGTATCATCGTTTTCTTCCTCTGAACAGGAAGAAGATGCGCATTTTTTCGCATCGCCGCCATCTGAAACTCGGCCTGTACAGCCACATTTACCGCATTTCTCTCCTCGATTTCTTCGTGAAACTTAAAGATGGATGTTACAAGAAAGGGCTAGGGATTTATTTGATAACTTCTCGTGGATCGTAGCCTAAGATATTCGCTACCAAAGTTCATCCAAAATCTGATTTATCGCTCGAGATAAAATAAAGGATTTCTTATTGGGTAGCAGATTCTAGGGGTTTCAAGGCCCTATTTTTCTTCATTCAACCTCTTTCATATCCTATCTTCAGACCTAAGGAATTGGTTGGGAGGAACGTCTTTGAGTGTTGGACCTTAATTTCCAGAAATCGTTCTCGTATGCAACTCACTCGAAATGCAGATTTTCGATCTCGTGGGTAGCTTATTCTACGACGTTTCAGCTCTCGATTCCTTCATCAAGTTTACTCAACTTCTTCCTCTGAAGGTCCTTAATTTGAAGGAAAAGAGACCGTAGATAGGAACTCTTATCCCCAATTTAATTTCGAAACCTATTTCTTTCAATTCGGCACTCTCTCCAGGTTATTTTACTTCGTGGTCTTCTATGGAAGCATTCCTTGGAGGTGCAGAAACTGATTGGAATCATTCTTGCCTGACGAGTCATCATGTATCCTCGAATTGGATTTTCAAGTTTTTCTTGAAGTTCTTCAATGGCTGATTGAATTGGGGGAATGGTTTCTAGGCACTTTCATCACTCTATTCCTTCATAGAACTTGTGGGTAATCTTGTTGAGAAACGGTAGGAATAAGTTTGAAGAGAAATGGTGGAGGATTGCTCTAGAATTTGGAAGAAATCTGAGAATAGGAGACCCATAATCTAAACGTTTATTGTCTTTGATTGGGGGATCGACCTTTCTCGATTCTTATTCCGTATTGTTGCTCCTACTTCATACTTTATAGGAGGAGCTTAAACCGACATTGAGAGCTCCAGATTCTTTGTTATTTAGAAGTTTAAGAGAAATGGTGGAGGATGGCTCTCGAATTTGGAAGAAATCTGAGAGTAGGAGACCCACAATCTAAACGCTTATTGCCTTCGATTGGAGGATCGATCTTTCTCGATTCTTATTCCGTATTGTTGCTCCTACTTCAGACTTTATAGGAGGAGCTTAAACCGACATTGAGAGCTCCAGAATCTTCGTTATTTAGAGATCAAACTTTCTGGATAACTTTTTGTTGATATCAACTTCGATGATAGCCTTACCGACCTTGGCTTTGAATACTAGTCGTTTGATGTGATGATCCGTGCGTGTTCGTTCTAGATCATATCAAATTTTGGAGGGATCCGACGGTTGAGATTTGAGTTCGAAAGATTTTGCTCGGATGGTCACGGTAGATGCTCTTATTCCAATTAGAGTGGCATTTTTGTAATTATCAATTCTTCCAGTGGTATTTTGGTAATTTGTCACTTTTCGAATATTTTATTATTATTTTTCTAAAAAAATCCATAATTTTTCTACAAATTTCTCATTTTTTTTAATCATTTTTCGCTTATTTTGAATCTTGAGATTCCTTCTAGAGAAGGAATTACAAATCCAGAAAGATTCTTGATAATTGATAGAAGGACTTTTTTTTGCCCTTTTGATTTACTCTTTTTTTTTTTTGAAAATTCAACTATTTTTTTTTTAATAATTATGATTATTTTTTTTATAGATAAATTGCAAAGTTCAATGGTATTTAATTTTGGAGGGATCCGACGGTTGAGATTTGAGTTCGAAAGATTTTGCTCGGATGATGGTCACGGTAGATGCTCTTATTCCAATTAGAGTGGCATTTTTGTAATTATCAATTCTTCCAGTAGTATTTTGGTAATTTGTCACTTTTCGAATATTTTATTATTATTTTTCTAAAAAAATCCATAATTTTTCTACAAATTTCTCTTTTTTTTTTAATCATTTTTCGCTTATTTTGAATCTTGAGATTCCTTCTAGAGAAGGAATTACAAATCCAGAAAGATTCTTAATAATTGATAGAATGACTTTTTTGCCCTTTTGATTTACTTTTTTTTATAGATAAATTGCAAAGTTCAATGGTATTTTTTATTTATTATTATTTTTTTTTTTTGTGACTTTGAGATATTTTGCTTTTATAAATAGATATCTTCAATTTATGAAATTTATATAAGTTGAAGTTGTGCATTGCCACGCATTCCTTTGGGTTGGAACCATTGATAACTAAACTATTTTGTTTTTTTTGTTTTTTTTTTCTTTCAAAATTGTCATTTTTTTCTTTTGGAGGGGCATTCCGAGAATCAAACTCAAGACCTCTTGCACCCAAAGCAAGAATCATACCACTAGACCAAATGCCCTTATTATGGACCATATATTAAGTTGTTTATGGAATGTATCATCATTATTTCATTTATTTTCTTTGTTAATGAAATCCATGAGCAATTATTATTATATCTTTTAGATCTCGACCGCTGTTAAATTATTTACATAGGGTTTGCGATAATTACTATAGAGAGAAGAGAGAAGAATAATTACATAGAGTTTGCGATAATTACTATAGAGAGAAGAGAGAAGAATAATTACATAGGGTTTGCGATACATAGGGTTTGCGATAATTACTATAGAGAGAAGAGAGAAGAATAATTACATAGGGTTTGCGATAATTAGTATAGAGAGAAGAGAGAAGAATAATTACATAGGGTTTGCGATAATTAGTATAGAGAGAAGAGAGAAGAATAATTACATAGGGTTTGCGATAATTACTATAGAGAGAAGAGAGAAGAATAATTACATAGGGTTTGCGATAATTACTATAGAGAGAAGAGAGAAGAATAAAAGAGAGAAGATTAGAGAGAAGGGTTTGCGATAATTACTAATAGAGAGAAGAGAGAAGATTAGAGAGAAGGGTTTGCGATAATTACTATAGAGAGAAGGGTTTGCGATAATAATTACTATAGAGAGAAGGGTTTGCGATAATTACTATAGAGAGAAGGGTTTGCGATAATAATTACTATAGAGAGAAGGGTTTGCGATAATTACTATAGAGAGAAGGGTTTGCGATAATAACTAAGAAGGGTTTGCGATAATAATTATTATAGAGAGAAGGGTTTGCGATTTGCGATAATTACTATAGAGAGAAGGGTTTGCGATAATAGTTACTATAAAGAGAAGGGTTTGCGATAATAATTACTATAGAGAGAAGGGTTTGCGATAATAATTACTATAGAGAGAAGGGTTTGCGATAATAATTACTATAGAGAGAAGGGTTTGCGATAATAACTATAGAGAGAAGGGTTTGCGATAATAATTATTATAGAGAGAAGGGTTTGCGATAATAACTATAGAGAGAAGGGTTTGCGATTTGCGATAATTACTATAGAGAGAAGGGTTTGCGATAATAATTACTATAGAGAGAAGGGTTTGCGATAATAACTATAGAGAGAAGGGTTTGCGATAATAATTATTATAGAGAGAAGGGTTTGCGATAATAACTATAGAGAGAAGGGTTTGCGATTTGCGATAATTACTATAGAGAGAAGGGTTTGCGATAATAATTACTATAGAGAGAAGGGTTTGCGATAATAATTACTATAGAGAGAAGGGTTTGCGATAATAACTATTATAGAGAGAAGGGTTTGCGATAATAACTATAGAGAGAAGGGTTTGCGATAATAACTATAGAGAGAAGGGTCTGCGATTTGCGATAATAACTATAGAGAGAAGGGTCTGCGATTTGCGATAATTACTATAGAGAGAAGGTGTCACAGCCCAAAATTTGAATCTCGAAATTAAGAGCCGGACCAACAGACTATGCAATGAAATCGTGTAAGAACCAATAGAGAAACGAGATTTCACAAAAAGAAACTTTAACAATTATGAAGGAGGTTTAAAATCCAAAACAAGGTGTTCAAATATGAATAGTAAGTAAGCGGTTTACAAAACAATGCATGACAAATCTAAACAAAATTATGCACAGACTCCTAGACGCCCCGGGACACTCCTCTGTGGCATTAAGATTCAGCATGCATTCCCGCCTCGATCCCTGGCCTCACTCGCCTGAAAAAAAAAAAGAGTAGAAAGGAATGAGTATAAAAGAATACTCAGTAAGTAGCCTACTTGTAGGCTCTTTTCGCATCCTTATCTTGGTAGGTAACCACGGTCTTTCTCGGGTTTCTATGCAGGGTGATCTAAGCTACAACTCTTTTATGCATCATAAGAGGCTTGCCCATCTTATGCAGTGAAATGATCAGCGTCCTGAGGTGAGGCGCGACCTCATCAGCAAATCTGAGGGGATCGTATGGCTGGATCCGAATACGTGACTCTCTCTCTGAACATCATCCGTGGAGGTTAACTGACGACCCTCACACGGGACCATACATCCACAAAGCGGGGTGCGACCCCCTATGTGCCGGTCAGCTACTGAGTTACCCTAAGTGGCTCCACGTCCCCCGCTCAGGGACGAGTTTCTACGGCTCAGGAGTCATGTTCAGAAAACCCCTTAGCTATCACCACTAGGTCTGGGCACCTGTCACGCTTCCCTATCCGGATCTGCAAAGCTCAACGATCACTGTACCGGAGCTCTGTCTCGACGGTATGGTATCGGAGGAGAGAGGGAAGTGGAGGTTCTGATGACACTATCTTCACTGCTCAACCCTAACGGGCTACCTACAGTTACCGTGGTGAGCTATTATTCTTTCTAGGGTGGAACTTGGTGCCTTAGACTTAGATTCGTATTTCTCTAGGACTCTCGTGCCTGGTGTCACAAACCTATCGGGTTTGGAATTCTGGGTTCTGGTTCCGCCGGTAATCATTTCGCGGGTCTAATTGCACGGTGTACTAGGGGTCCCCCAATCTAAGGTCTCGTCTAGCTTATTTAGCCAAAAGCATCCTAATCAAGCTCATAATTTCTTCCTATTCATCCAGAAAGACAAGCCAAGCAATCATCATACAAGAGAGTTTACACGCAGCAGTTCATGCAAAATTATCAAACATGCTCAACGGGAAGATAACGTCCGACTTTTACCCGGAGCGCGGATTTCACAAGTTTCCCAACCCCCTCATGCATACATACATTATCAGAGTCTCAATCAAACAGATTTAATACACATTTTGAATCTAGCTTTCCATAATCATCTTATATTCGCAGTTTCTATAATAGGACGCTAAGTCGGGCTAGCTAATTTCATAGGTGGTAGCATGCATGCTCGTTCCTATCGGTTCCTACAAGTATTGCTTGTGGAAGTCCAAATGGCTACTTACATGGTCGACGCGTGCCTTCCCGAGTTCAAGTTTTCTTGACGGAATGGATTCCAACAATTCTGGAATTTTCTTCACAAGTCCTAATTCACATAATAATAGGGTCAGCATCAAAATCGGGTCGGAAAACAAGCAAACAGAGACCGAACGGGAAGAAAAACGGTGCCTCACGCGCCCCACGCGCGACGCACGCGCCCTGGAAGGTCACCACGCGCG